ATCCCTACGGTCAAAAAGATTGGCGTGCTTATGATATGGAATCTGGCACTTTTTCTATCTCTCGTGATGTGGTGTTCTTTGAGTATGAATTTCCATATAGTTCTCCGCCTTCGACGGTTGTGCCCTCTCCTTCCATTGACTCCCCCATTGTTTATGACAATGATGATTTTGCTACTGAGCTTCTGGTTAAACCTCTTGATGAGCCGTTTTCTCCTCCTATTGTCATTAAGTCTCCGAATGGTGAGTATGTTGGCTCTCCCACTTCGCCTTCTCTTGCCGGGGGGAAGGGGGGTCAGCCTTCTCCCATGCAACAGGAAGAACTTCTGGGTCGTGGGCATCGGGCCAAGTTTCGCTCCATCCGTCTCACTTATTTTCTTTCCCACATTGTGGCTTTATCTAACCCCTCTCTCAGCTCATCCTCTTCCTCAATTTCCTCTAGTACGTCCTATCCTATCCACCATTTTGTGAATTATGATTCTTTTTCACCCCCACACCGTGTTTTTTTGGCTGCTAGACGGGCCATTGGCTGCAAATCAGTGTTCAAGATCAAGCATTGTTCTGATGGATCGATAGAACACTATAAGGCCCTTTTGGTGATTCTAGGCAACAACCAGATTGAGGGTCTAGACTATACAGAGACTTTTGCTCCGGTTGCAAAAATGGTGACAGACCGTACCTTGCTCACTATTGCTACTGCTAAAGGCTGGGTACTTCATCGAGTTGATGTTCACAATACCTTTTTACATGGTGATCTTACCAAAGAGGTGTATATGCGATTACCTCCGGGATTTTCTTCCTCCACACCGGTAACCGCTTGTCGTCTTCGTCGATCCCTCTATGTCTTGCATCAGACCCCTTGTTATTGGTTTGCTAAGTTAGCCACTGCGTTGCGCAAGTATGGTTTCCAACAGTCTCACTCGTTATTCTCTTTTTGCTCTACATCGAGGTTTTGTGCAGCTTAATGTTCTTGTATATGTGGATGATTTGATCATTTGTGGAAATGATGGTGTCGCTATCCAGAAATTCAAGGTTTATTTAAACCGTAGTTTTCATATGAAGGATCTTGGTGTCCTAAAATATTTTCTGGGTATTGAGGTGGCTCGCAACTCTTCTGGCATCTTTTTCTGCCAATGCAAGTACACTTTGGATATCATATCTGAGGTTGGTTTATTGGGCGCAAAGCCCACTGGTTTTCCTCTTGAACAAAATCATTAGCTTCCACTGGTTGTCCCATCATGCAGCGTTCTCTTACTGGATGGTTTGTTTAGTTGGGGTCTTCTCCTCTATCCTAGAAGACCAAGAACCAACAGACTATTGCTCGTTCGTCTGCTGAGGCTGAGTATCGTGCTATGGCTTCTTTAGTCTGTGAATTAAAATGGCTTAAGGGCTTGTTGTTATCCTTGGGAGTATCTCATTCTCAACCAGCACATTTATTCTGTGCTAGCCAGGCTGCTTTGCATATCGCTTCTAATCCGGTATTTCATGAGCGTACTAAACATATCGAGATCGATTGTCACTTTGTGCGCGATGAGGTGGTTCGAGGTACCATTCTTCCGAGTTATGTCATTCTTCCGAGTTAAGTGTCTAACCATGTTCAACTCAGCAATATCTTTACCAAGGCCTTAGGCAAATCTCAGTTTGACTATTTTCTTTCCAAGATGGGCATTCGAGATCTTCATGCTCCAACTTGAGGAAGATATTGCGATACTTTATATTTAGTTAGGGTTTTTGTATTTACAGTAACTAAATGTATTTACTTTACTTAGGGCCTGTTTGATAAAAATTAGTGCTTAACTCTGAATGCTTAACACTGAATTAGAAATGCTGAATTCACTAGGTAGTTACAGAATAAGCAATAAGCTAACTTTTATTGCTTATATTTTGTACTGTAGTTTCCGCACCACTTAGGAGGTGCTTAATATGAGGGTGTCAAACCAGATTAATGGGAATGAAAGGAAATAATGCTGCTTGGTTAGTGGGGATTCATTCCAACATAGTGCATTAATGAGTATTCATTCCCAATAATTCATTCCTCACAAAATTAGAAGGTTTGGATAATTTAAGGCATAAATTGACCCCTTTTTCCTTTCTACCCTTGTCTTCTCCTTCATCCTCCCTTGTTTCTCTCTCATTCATCACCGTACTCAGTCCACCATTGTCACCATTCTCCTCCTTTTTCTTCTTCTTCTTCATCTCTACTCCTCTGCTTCTTCTTAACTTTTGATTTATTCATACAAAGATTAGTTTGTTTCTTTTTGCCTTTAATTTATTAATTAAATGGATCTTTCCCGCAATCAATTTCAGAACATTATTTTTAATATCAGTCAAATTTAACCCAAATTTTAGTTTCCATTTCAATGTTATTATGATATTCTACTGCCGATGTGATATTTTTTTGATGAACTCTTGGTGCTACTTCTTATTTCCTTTTTCTCCTTTCTTCGAATCATTTGTTGTAGATTTTTTTTTCAATTCACTGTTTCTCTCACTTGGCATGTGAAAAATAATTAAAGTAAACATTCAACGCCAATAAACCCAATATTCATTCTAGAAAATTTCCGAGGAAATGAAGTTTAAAGTGAATGAGTGAGTTCATCGTGCAACTAGGCAGAGATAGCAAAGTGATATCCTTTGATGCAAGGATAAAAATGGAATTCACTTGCAATCCCATAGTAATAATTGTATGAACCAAGCATTTGAATTGGAGTTTTGAAACCCTTCACTATCATAGCCGGAATTGAATCTCATATCTAAACCCATAGTAGTTGTTGAACCAGGCATCTCCTTAATTCATTAAGAGGTTTATTTTTGTTATCAAACATACTGAAATGAAAAAAATACTTAATCAAATAATTTTAAACATTAAGTGGCTTTATCAAACAAGCCATTAGTTACTTAGGGTTTGGTAATTGTAAAACTTGTACTCTCTCCGTCTCACAAAAATGGTCCACTTTGATAAAAAATTTTGTCTAAAAAAAATAGTCCAGTTTCCAAAAAGTCAGAATTGAAAAACAAAAAATGCCGTAACTACCCTTTTTATAAAGAGCACCGAAGAGCAAAGGAGAGGGAGGAGGCGATGACGTCTCGAGTAGCTGGGGGACGTCAATCGGATCTCTGGGAAAAGTTACGAATCTCAGATTCAACGTTGACGATTTTTTTCTTTTTATCTCCAGGAAAAAAATTAAAAATAAAAGCAAAGAAAGGACAGAGAGAGGAGGAGGAAGAAAACGAGCTTCATAGAATTTTTTTGGGTTGAAGAAAGTGGGCGAATTCCGCCAATTTAGATTGGGAATCACTCAAATGTGAGGCTTATAACTGTCACCGGAATTCCCACCGGAAAGAACCGGAAGTAGAAGGGTACCACCACCCACATCCTCCACCATCCCACCACCACCACCAGAATTTCTCCTCGGCAGCCTACTCCTTCCGGTCTCCTCATCCATCCGGGTACCTCCAGGTGACGCCGCCGATGCGGCCTTTGGCGCCGCCGTCGACTTCCAGGGAGGATGAAGACGTGTCGAACCCGAGTAATAGCAGAGGAGGAGGAGGAGGGAGTGGCAGCGACGGTGGCAGTGCCGGAGGAGGGTTTAAGAAGAGGTTTAGATGAACAGCATGAGCGGCGGTCGCCTCCTTTGGAAAACCAAGTGATTGATTAAATTAATTTTGGCTAAGGGATAAAAATGGAAGTTTGAAGGAACAAAATGAGTTGTACATTTTGGGATTAACCAAATTTAAAAAGTTGTACATTTTGAAATTAGACTATTTTTATGGGACGGAAGAAATATATATCAAACTCTAATACTAATAACAGAGGCCAAGAAATCGTCGGCCGTTTTCCATCTTTCTTCCACTACAAACAGAATTCCTTAAAACTTCTTATGGGTATGTAAATAGACAAAAAATAAAATTAAAAAAAAAAACAGAAAAAGGAATCCCATTGTATTGTTTAAGCAAATTTTCTGCCAAGAGCAGAGGGACATGGTCAAATAAATAATCTGATCATCAATCCTTGGAATGTTACTATTCAATTATTCAAACCAGGTAGTCTTTATCAGTAAGCAGAGACATATAAACAACTCGATTATCGCAAAATACATTACTACACAATCCTGTTTAAACTTTTATATTTATTACATTTATTATGAAAAATGACAATTTGAACCGAAAAATCATTTCAGGAGGAGAGGGTGCTAAACACGCAGTTTTGCGCAAAGAAAAAAACAAACAAACAAAAACCAAAACAAAAATGAAAACCAGGATCATATTGTGTACATACATATATAACATTTCCAAATTAAATTCAATTAGCTAACTTGCCACTATTGAACTTTTTTTTTTTTTTGGTTAACACTATTGAACATTTTCATCCATATAAATGAAGCCTATAACAAATCAAGTCTAATCATCCAAAGAAGAAAAGAAATTGGCTAAGGGGGTAACCCACAACGCAAATTAAGGAAAAAAGCAAAACATGTAATTGTTTCATACCCTCTTCGATAATAATAGCTAACACCAAGCTGATCAATTGCCCCGCCACCCCATTAGAAATATTTCCTGATTGATTTTTCCTTTTTCTCGCAGGCTCCTTAATATTTTGAGATTAAACCGTCACACATTTTCAAAGTCTTTCCTGAACTTCATGCAGAAATAAACATATTACTTTTGTAGAGTTTGTTCGGCTTCTATGTAATGGTGGTACGTAAAATTATAGAAAATAAGCCGTACAATAGTCAGGGAAGATTCTCTCATTATTTCAATAGTGACTTCAAGTTCGAGTCATTAATCCCATTTTCCAAAAAAAAAATAAAAATTCATTAATCTTATGATTTCGTATATCTTCATTAACACCAACCTAGGCTGTCCAAGTTCTTCCTCCTTTTTGTTACTTGAAAGATAAGGAATAAAAATTGAATACGATTATATGATTGAATACGACAACCAATTAAGGTTGATTACATATATTTGATAAATTGCGTACACAATACTATTTGTAACGCGGTCTTTATTGTACATTACACATGCCTACGGCACAATTTCAAAGAATAAAACTAACCATACATACTCTCTCTCTCTGTTCGAACTGATTGTCCATTTATTATTTTAATTTTGTACAATTTATACTAAAACTAAATTTTCAAATTAGATGATCCTTTCGGAACAAAAAGAGTATATTCTTACCAGCATATGCTAAAATAGATGATTAGCCATTTCAGGGCGAATCTTACACTTTGCCAAAAGTGGTGTTACTCTAGGCATATTGAATTCTCCACCTTCGCTCAATTTCATATCTAGCAACTTCTCACTAACTCGATCCCAGTCAAAGCATTGAATGAGAGACCCAAATGCCAAGCCCATAACCTTCATACCAAGTACCTCAGCAGGACATGCTCTTCTACCATACCCAAATGGCAAATAACTAAATCCAAAGTCTTTTTTCTCCACATTCAAAAACCTTTCGGGTTTAAATGTTGTGGGTTCGTCCCAAAGCTTAGGGTCCGTTTGAATCGCCTCGAGGTTCACGATTAGGAACGTGCCACGTGGGATGTTGTAGCCTCCAACCGTGCAATCCTTAGATGCCACGTGGTGACTGAGGATTGCAGGTGACGGGTACAAGCGAAGGGTTTCATCGATGATTGCTTGAAGGTAAGGGAGATGGTTCAGGTCGAACTCATCAATTAGCCTGTTTGATCCGCCGATGTGATTCTGGATCTCTTGGTAGGCTTTCTTCACAACATTTGGATGGTTAAGTAAAAGTGAAAGAACCCATTCCATTAGAATAGCTGTTGTCTCGGATCCGCCAACTATCATCATCTATATGCAACCAAACGAAATAATTGTTAGTATCTTGAGCACTAAGGTAGATATGATCATTATTTTAAATAGTAGGGGAACTTCTATAATCATAAGGACAGCAAATATAAATTTTTTTTAAATGTAATGCAATTTTTTATGCACCGGGATTGATTATTTGACTTATTAATTACATGAATTAGTAATCTTCCAAGTGCCAAATATGCTTTGGTCATCTTAATATCTTAGACCAGTTCTTAATTAAATTCAGTCCAGTCAAGGACATACATTTGGGTAAAAATAATAACTCTTTGAGATCAAGGAGAGGTCAAAAGTAAAGAGTAAAACCCAATTTTGACTTGGTGTCCCTTTTACCTTTGATTAGAACAAAATTTACTAACTAACTCATCGTTAATGTGAGTTAATTAATCAATTAATTACTTAGAATGCTAGTTACGTAATATATCATGAAATCAGTAACCTCCATATCTTATATGTACACAAACTTATCAAATATTAATTCTACTAATTTTCTGTTCAAAAGAGATAACAAACACCCGTTACTGAATTGTAGACAGTTTCCATGAGTGAAGTAGCCTTAGTCTTTGCCTTACAAAATACCCGGCAATTGTTCAGGTTAGTTTTCAAAATGTAATTAGGTACTAGGTTTATTATATTGAAACAATTAATATAAGCTTAAAATGAGAAGTACTAACCTGAACCATTCCGTTGATCATATCATCTGTATAGAACTCAGGTTCATTCTGTTGAAGAGACAAAAAGACATCAATTATGCACTTAATATTAGTTTCTTCCTGATTAAGGTCACCGACTTCACTCAGAATCTTTCTTCTCTCTTCAAGCAGGCTTTGCATGAATCCTTCCCTTTGTGACTGTAAATCTTCCAGCACCTTCAGCAACTTACCCCTCCTACCGGTCCATCTCAACAACGGAACATAATCCGGTATATTCGTATTCAACAAATTAGAGGCTTTAATAATCTCCCTCAACTTCTTAGCTTCCTCCAACTTCTCATCCTCGCTAAGATGTTCCCGCTTTCCGGCTACCATCCTCATCGTGATACTCAACGTCAACTCGAAGAAAGCGGAACTTAGATCCACCATACCGGAATCCTTTGTGGCCCTCGCGAGGCGTTGCATCATCCGGTGAACTTCTTCCTGGCGCATGCGGGCGTACATTTGGGTTCTCCGGCGAGAAAATATCTCAACCGTAGCAACCTTTCTTAGCTCGCGCCAATATTCGCCGTAGGATGCCCAAAAGACAGTATTGTAGTCGAACGCGAAGTGTTTTCCAAATAGGATTCTAGGCCGGTCCGCAAAAATGATGTCGTTCTTAGTGAAGCATTCCTCTACTAAAGAAGGAGAAGATATAAGGAGGTTAGGGCGAGAACCAAAGTATAGGAGTAGTATTGGACCATATTTGTTCGCAAGATCAGCAAAAACAGTTTGTTTCCTAAGGTAATGAAGGTGGCCAAATATAGGTAAAGAAAATGGAGGACTTGGAGGGAGATTTCGGAATTTTCTCACGATTCGGTCGGTTAAGGAAGACAGGAAAAGAACGGTGATTAGCACTAGGAGATAGAATGAAAATGCTTCCATGTTGATTAGGAAAAAAAAGGGTGGATGAATCGATCCTAGCTCAATTTTTTGTTTTAATTTGGAGAGGAAATGCTTTGGGCTCAGGGATATTTATAGAGAAGATTGAGGTTGCGGCATTCAGCGACATTAATCGCATTTTCTCGGTTCTTGGAGAAACAAATACGATTCTGATTTTGGGCAAACAAGATAAGATTGTATATATTCTCAGAATTAGTCCACTTTGCCGTTCGCATTTGGAAATAGGTCATGCATTGTAGAAGTAGTTTATTGATGTTTTACCATTGATAACGTCGTGAAATAAAATGAGGCTGATTGATGTATGAACCAAAATAGTTGAATGATGATGATGTGACAGACCGTTATTTACTTAGTCAACCAGCTTTTTTATATATAGATATTCATCATATTACAAGACTAGCATGATTATATTTAAGGTCGCATAAAGTTCACATTCATGAACTACTTTTTCACAGTTTCGTTCGGTCAAGGTATATTACTGTCTAATATTTTTGGTCAACAAGGTTTTGGTGGTATTTTTTAAACAAGTAATAATGGCTGCTGACAATTAAATAATTAGGTCAAAATTCTACGTTTCAGGTTTACATGTGTTTTCATTTTCTTTTATGTATTTATTTGTTTTAATCTAGGACAATACCTGGTCATTAGAGTTTATCCAGTTTTTTTAAAACCAAATTTTCATAACATTAAAACATTAAAAAAGCATTACGTATAATTGGTCAACACTAGCGTTGTCTTCGACAATTTGTGTGTGTTTTGTACTATATATCTGTCTACATATTTTCATACAACTACAATTAGAAACTGACATTTTAAACAAACTATCATGTCCTGCACTTCTAATTTGGTGTGAAAACCATGATTTTATCCAGTTAATGATAAGGAAACTACAGTTAAGGGCTGATGAGAATTGTTTTAGATAAGAAGCAAAAATTACAAATCAGCCCATATGAAAAACTGGTTAGCCTTAATTAGTCATCTTAATTATTAGGGTATCATACCCTAAGAATGTATTGACTTAGTCATCTTCAGACTTTAACCTCCTTTTCTATACCAAAAAAAATAATAATAACAAAAAATACTACGTTCATAAATATGGAAATTCTCTCTGTGATTTAAAGCTACAAGCAACGTGTAGTACTAATTTTCTATGCATATTGATGTTCTAACATCTGAACAAGAATTTTAAATCCATTCCCACTTTTTATTATGGTGAGTCCAATATCTTTACATATATAGCTGTAATCTTCTACGAAATAGTATTCAGTTTGAATGTTGAAAAAAATACATAATAAATTTCATAATGATTGATCGGCGATGGTTAATGATCATTCCTCCGCGTTGCCAAGTTAATGTAGGCAAGATCTGGAAACATTTAAAAGGGCAAGTAGGCCCATGTTGCAAAAATCCGAAATCAGTTGAAAAAGAAGCTTTGAATTGGTGCATTATTGTTGAGGTGTTATTGTTGAGCGCTCTAATTTTCTCATTTGAGCGCTCTCCGAAATACAGATACGCCCTCTGCAGAATGAAGATATATTTTTTTAAAAAAAGAAAAAGAAAAAGAGGGGGGCGAGAGAGATATGCGCCATACATTCACGGTTGACGCAGGAAAAACACGCCAACCGGGTTGGTGTGGAATAATATCGCCTCCCGTTACAGGGAGGCGAGAAAACCTTCGCCTCTAGTGACGGGCGCCAATTTTGTCCGGGTTTGCTCGCAACCAACCGATGGGCGCCACTCATTTTATTTTTAATTTAATTATATAACTTATTTAATTAATATCATTTATTTATTTAAATTATTAGTTTAATAAATTTATTTATTTCATGTATTTATTTAATTAATTAATTTATTTTATTTGAGTATTTGTTTGGTAGTTTAATATTTGTTTAGAAAATTTATGTTAATTGGAAGTTAAATGGATAATCTTTAATATTTAGGGTTTATGGTAGTGGTACATAAATAATGTTTAACATAAATATTTAGAGAATATTTTTTAATTACGTATTATGTTCATAAGTTACAGTTGGTATATCAAATAGGTAAATTTTTGGTTAATTATGTGTTTATTTTGTTATATGTTTAAATTATGTTAATTACGTAGTATGTTCGTATGAAATTATTTTTTTCTTGTTAAATATGTGTTTAGTTTGTTGTTAGTTTAGAAAGAATTGGTTAATTAGGTAGTATGTTTATAAGTTATAGTTGTTATATTAAAATAGTGAGTTTTTGTTAATAATGTTCTTATTAGTATATATTATGTTAATTAATTATCTTTAAAGTATAACATCATAATATCGGATTATATATTATATTTTTGTTTATAATAAATTATTTGTGGTCTAATATTATTATAGTTAATTTAAGTTATGATATAATTCATTTTTAATGTGTCCAGGATAGGTTTGATCAGGGGGATGGACATGATTATAGTTCGGCTCTTGCTACAAACGAGACTTTTGGCACGAAACCTAAAGCTATTGCATATGCGAAGGGTATTGCAAATATGTTTAACACGGAGTTAAGTATATCCTCGCACAAGGATAGTAATACTATACTCCTTTGTCATAAAAGAAGGCTGGTACCAAGATCAACAGATGGATGAAAACATACGTGCCAGACCCAATACAAAGACACAGATGATCGGATTCCAATTTCGGATTACTATCTATAAAATATATGATAGGTGGGCGATCCGTGTATATCCCGGTTCATAGGGAATGCACAACCATTTATTGAAAGATCCGCCTTGGGTTAGGAGGGCACTAAGCGCAGAAGTGAAAGAGCTCATTCAGGAGTACTCTAAAGTTGGGACTAAGGTAGTCCACATTTTACGGCGATATGGATATAATTTCCTGATGAAAATGTTACCTCCAAACAAGTCTACAACTATAGATATCAATTGTGTAAGGAGGGATTTCCATTTCTAGATGACATGGCTTTCATGGACGTCGTGGGAAAGGTGTTAGAGGTCGCAGAACAACACAAATACATCATCTTCACGGAGTGCGATGAAGAGACACAGAGGTTATCCCATGTGTTTTTTACTCATCCGGATTCTTTGTTGCTGTTGCGCACGTATCCTTGGGTTGTTTGCGTAGACTCCACACACAATACAAACAAATATAAAATGCCTCTTGTGGAGTTTGTTGGAATGATCCCGTGCAATCAGACCTTCCTTATAGCACATGCTGTTCTGAGTAACTTGTACGGTGACGATCTGCATCCCAGTGTCATCGTGACTGATCAGGAGCTTGGACTGATGAGGCCTCTTGATGATGTATTTCCATCATCACATCACTTGTTGTATACGTGGCACATTTACATGGATGTTAAAAAAAATGTGAAAAAAATTTTGAACGGAAATACAAACATAGCAAAAAGTTTCGAGTACAAGGTGAAGCTTCTGGAGCATAATTGGTCCTAATTTCAACTCGTTCTAGAGTATGTCAAGAAGACATTGTTAGTGGTGGCGGACAAGTTTGTGCACTATGGACCAACACTTATTTCTATCTTGGAAACACCACTACTTGTAGAGTGGAGAGGGCACACAAGTTGTTAAAGGAATGGATCGGCACACCAAATACTTCTTTTGAAATGGTCTGGCACAGGGTTCACATGTTACTCAAGACACAGCTTACACAAATAAGGTACTCGATTTTGACGTTACATTCTAAAATATGGTTATAATATTTATTGTGTGTTTAGTTTGTTTAAGTAATTTTTTTTCATTCCTTCACAAGGAGAAATTGCAAGAATCATGGCAGAAAATAGGGAGGCAACACAACAAGTACCCTTTCTACCAATTCAGATGTAACGTTTCACACTACCGCCTGGATCTGTTGAACAATGAGTTGGAAAAGGTACAGCAACTCGGAGATGATGTGTTTTGGGAATGCAATCACTACCTAAAGCAAACTCATTCGATCCCTTGTGCATGTATTCTGAAGCGGGTAGTGGAGGACAACGATGTTTTGAATCCAAAATACTCACACCAATTTTAGAGCACACTCGACATCAGTCAGGATGCAGAGAAGGATAGTTCGGATGATGTCCCCCCTCACAGATTGTTGTTCAGGCAATTAGTGGAAGAATTAGACGCTTCTGAGGAGCAAATAAAGCGCTAGATCACTAGACTAATGTACAACAAACATCACCCGGGCCAAGCAGGATCGAAACAACCTCTGGTTGGAAGAAGAGGCAAGGGCAAGCAGAAGAAAAGAGACATCTTAAAAAGAAAGCAAGAGAAACCAAATGTGTGGGCATACAGGGATAGCAGTCAGGCTGGGACGAAAACCAGTAGTTCCAGTAAAGCAGATGCCAAGAAAAGTACCTCGGGTCAAGGTGGGATGAACACCAACAGTTCCAGTACAGGCCATACGCCGGGAGCTGCAGAACCTGCCGGAGGTCCGATATAAATTTATTTATTTTTAATGTGCAAAATACTATTATCATTTAATTCATATATTTTTGTTTCATGGCGTGCGAGCACAGGTACATGGACTGGATTAGGTGGGACGAACACCAGCAGTTCCAGTAGAGGCCATACGTCGGGAGCTGAAGCTCATGTCGAAGGTACAATTTATATTTATATTTTTTAAAGTGCGAAATTTCATTATCTCATTAAATTATTATATTTAATCTAGAGATAATGAAATTAATTTTTTTGGTAACAGATGTGATGCAGACAGATTTTTTCACGTTTAGGCATAAGAATAAGATTGCGTGGATACTCCACAACTATGTTGCATCATATCTTGATGTCCTGCATCACAGGGATTATTGAGTCATTAC